TTTCTTAATGGTGGGTGAACCGCCATGAGCGGCAATGCTTGGGGGGTGTTAGGGGGAAAGGTCTGTATGGGTGTGGCGACGACGGGATGCCGTAGAATGTGTTTTTTTTTTTTAATTCTTTTTTTTTCTTTCTTTCTTAATGATGAGTGGACCGCCATGAGCGGAAATGCATAAGGTGTTTATGGGGAAATGGTTGTATGGGTGCGGTAACGACAGGATGTTGTGGGATGTTTTTTTTTTTTTTTTTTTTCCTTTTTCTTATTTCTTTCTTAATGGTGGCCTAGTATGGGTGAACCGCCATGAGCGGCAAACGCCGGCAATAGGGGCAACGACGAGATGCCGTGGAATGTGTCTTTTTTTTTATTATTCTTTTTTTTTTTTTCTTTCTTAATGATGAGTGGACCGCCATGAGCGAAAATTTATAAGGGGTTTAGGGGGAAAGGGTTGTATAGATGCCGTGGGATGGGGTTTAGGGGGAAAGGGTTGAGTGAAAATGCATAAAGGGTTTAGGGGGAAAGAGTTTTTTTTTTTCTTCTTCTTCTTCTGTTTGGGGTGTTTTTTTCTTCTTCCTGGGGTGTTTTTATTTCTTGGGGAGAAAGGGGTCTTTATGTTTGTTCCTTCTCGTATTTGTCGTTTTGGTTGTTGTGGAACTTGTGTACCTTCTGGTGCCTTCCATCTTTTTCTAGGTTGATTCATCGGTTGTTCAGTGCAGTTCTTCGTCGTCGGCGCCGGAGTTCGTTTCAGTTCACCTTTCTTTAGATTTTCTTCGGTCTGCACAACATGTCTGACCCACCACGCAACACCGGGAAGACCCCCGCGGAGTCCTCCTCGTCAACGGGGAAGAGGTCGGACTGGAGTAAAAAAAGTCACAACACGAAGACCTTTGACTTCCCATTTAGGGTAGATCCAAAGGTGGATGCAAAACAAGATGATCCTGTTTGGCATTTCGTTGCTCGTGGCCGCCGCATCATAATGATATGCATACCGAAGCGAGTCTCGGCGGAAAGCAGCAGTGCCATCGTCGTGAACGCTTGCAAAACTTCGCGAGCGTGACTATGGCGCTTGAAAAACTTTGTGACCAACCGCGCCTGAGCAATGCGTGTCGCCACTCACTCAATGCCGCCGATGTCCTCAAGGATTAGGTCCATGACGTGCGCCACACAAGGAATCCAGAAGATGTGCTTGACACTCTCATCCTTCTGGAACACCTCCATCGCAGAAACGTTCGAACTGGCAGAGTCTGTGACAAAAGCGGTGATGTCTGCAAGCTTGATGTCAAGGGACTTCAACCTTCGCAGCCAATCCTGCGCCAGAGCAGTGGCATCCTTCTTTCCTCGCATAACATCTGTCGTGACGTATGTGGCGCCCCGTGTGGTCCCGACGAGATAGTTGCACAACGTCTGACCCCGAATGTTTGTCCAACCGTCTGTCATAATCGTGCAACCATAGGTAGCCGACGTAGCGAGGACAGGTTTCACACACTTTTGAACTTCCACATCAAGCTCATCCAAAAGTGTGGTACGAATCATGTGATACGTCAGGGGTTTTGGGGTGGGCACTCCGGGAACCCGAGGCGGGATGATCAACGTCAACATGTGTTTGAAGCTCTCGAGCTTCACACAGTTGAACGGCATGTCGCTCTCGACAATGAATCGCATGATCTGCAAGTGCCATGCGTGCTTCAATGGGTCGTTGTAATACGAGGTCACCGCCTGCTGCCTGTAAGTGCCCCTCACTCGCACACCGTCACCGCAACCTAGCGAATCCCACGCCCCGCCGCCGGCTGCAGGTGATGCGGTGGGGCCTGGATTCGGAGCTGCAATGTTGCACAAATTTAGCAAAGGATCCAATGTCCCGAAAACACCGTGCTGCGAGGCTGGGGCGGTCACGGGCGCAGGAGTGGGTGACGAATCCGAAACCTAAATGGGCTCATCGAGCAGGACGTCGCCCGCCCCCTCAGGGACCGTTGCAGCGGTCCTACCAAGAGGTGTTGAAGTCAAGTCTGGTGTAGGTCCTCGTGTTTGCGAAGGAGGGGGCGACAACCATGGATACGCAACAGATTGATGTCCTGTTGCGGGTGGTCCGGCCACAGGCGGACGTGCGGCTGCGCGTCCAACTCTTGCAACCTTGTCCCTATTCCCAACGAACAACAGGGCGAGGCCGGATGATGTGCCTGCGCCCTTCCCCCACTCAAGACCCTCGACAAAAGCACGAGCCCTTGGCTCGTCAAATGGCACAGATCCCTGGACACCCGAAACTTGCACGGTGCCTTGCGCATCAGCCTGCGTCGCCACCGTTGCGCCATCAGCGGATGCGGGAATCGTCGGACGAACCGGCGCAAGTGAGACTGTTCTCGAACGAGGGGGGAGCGGAGCACGTGGTGCACGTGGAGATGGCGCCATTTGCGAGGGGGCGGCAGTTGACGGGGGCGGTGGAACGGCGTCCTCGGAAAAACGAATCGGTGGCCATTGGAAAGAGGGATGACCTGGAGGAAGATTCTGCAAGGCCTGCACAACAGAAGCCAAATGTGCAGGACACTTCGAGATATCCTTCGACCAAATCGCGTGCCGGACGACGAGGAGATGCGGCACGGTTTGAAACTCGCTCTAATTCAGTTTGGGTACCCGGAACATTCGGATCAGCACACCGAGGTCCTCACTGCCATTGACAAGTTTCATTCTAGGGAGCCATCATTCGACGATGTGGCCATGGACCGGGCGGCGAGGAGCTATACCCATCCAGTCTGTTTCTGGGAGTCAAAGGAGAAGAGGTTCCCGCACACGGCCTTCTTCGCAGGCAGGATACTGCGTGTGTGGGCGACTATATCGCCTTGCGAGAGAGCTTGGTCCCGCTGGAGCTTCATCCACTCAAAGTCCCATAACAGATTGGAGGTGGCACGGGCCGAGAAGCTCGTGCGATGCCATTGGAACCTTCGGCTCGTCGACAAGCAGCCTATGTCGGACGATGCTACCAATGACAGGCCACATCCATACGGGAGCTGGGTGCACTACTGGCAGCAGGTGGAGGAGGAGGTGCCCACCGACCAACAGCTTGTCTCAGACCGAGGAGCCCGTGTGACAGTGACGGAAGAGGAGTTGATGCATGCAAGAGAGAGGATGCGCGCCGTGTCCCGCATGGGAGCCACTCGTCGATTGTGGGAGTCTGACAGGAGGAGGTGTCGTGGCTGCGGTCGAGGGGGTGGTCGTCGGGGCGGTCGTGGGCGAGGCGGGCGTGGAGGTCCTGGCGGGAGGCGGAGTTTCGCGAGTTGTGGAAGGACGGCGAACGAGCTTGCACGCAAGCTTCGACAACGATGGGATGAGGAGGCTTTTTGTACGAGAGCTCGTCCAGTGACGATGAGGATTTCTTCGGGACTGGCAGGCCTGCACAGGATGGCGACAGCGATTTCGACGACCGTCACCCAGACGTAGACGACAACGGTGGCGCCAGAGGCGATGATCGCGGTGATGGTGGAGATAGGCCATGACCCCGCTCAACCCAGAGAGACACTGACAGAGGGTCTTCAGGTGGCCAGTTGACGCAGTCGAAAAAGAAGCAAGACTCCCACGTCCGCCGTCAAACTCAGAGCATCATCCGATTACCGCGGTTGGCGGCGCAGTTGTGCGCGTTGTCGGAGGGCGCGGTGTCCCGGCCCTCCTCTGTGTACCAAGTCCCCGTTTGGTATCAGTCTCTTGCTCGATGTCGCGGCCTGTATTTAAGTTCCCGAACCACTACGACCCTTAGTACCCGGGCCATACCTTGACGTGAACCGGCCCTGTTGGTGCCTGCCCTGGCAAAAAGGTGCGCCACAGGGCTTTCCATTGGTCCACGCAGGCTCGACGCCCTGTTGTATAGCAGAGCACTACCGGCCTGTGGCCGCAGTAGCCACCTGGCTCGCCCTGGGACGCGAAGATGAAGGGACGGGTGCTGTTTTTTTTACTGTGCGCCGGGTGTCCCTCTGCCAGGTTATGGGTCGGATAGAGCAGTATCATTATCGGGAAAATGGAAAAATGGAAAAAGGAAAAAGAAGTGAAAAGGGAGCTAGGGGACTAATCCGTGCGAATGAACTGTCAGCCTTAATATGGGGTAATCTTACGACCACTAGTCGCCCTGTCGTTACGTTTTTTGTTTATTTCCTTACTATTATTATTGTTATTATTATTATTATTATTATTATTCTACTGGTTTCTCGGACACGATTTCCTTTCCTTTCTTTTCTGGTCTCTGTCACTTTGTAGTGGAGGCCGACGGTTCAAATCTTGGACTACGACTGCCGTCTGACGGCCTAGGCTGGCCCGACCCCTCGTAAGTCATTTGTGCCAGGGCTGTTTGATTGAGCGTCGCGTAGTAAGGCCCCAAAAGAGGGGCGACCCGCGGCCGCATCGGTAGGGGGCTTATCACCCTCCTTGGAAAGGTCATAAGCCCCCTCCTTGCCATCGGACACAGGTACCCGACGGGGATAGGACGAAGCTGTATTTTAAAAGGGGAAGTGTGATCGTCGATACCTCGTTATGGGATCACAATTTTAGGCCTATAGTCTATTCATGAGGACTAGTGTTTGGTGGTGGCGTGGTAAGCCCCATTTAGTGCTCTGACTGTTGATGTTCTGTTCTGCATTCTCTTTAAGCTGTTTTCTTAATACTATTAATTTTATTTTGATCAGGGTCTGCCCGAATCTTTCGGATTTCGATGGGTGGCTACCCTATAAAGAGAGAAGGGGGTAAGTCATAGGACATTGGGGTGTCGTGAGGGCAAGACTCCCTTTTTCTTTTTCTGAGAGTTGGGATATTGTCTGCGGCCGGTAGCTTGCTAGTGCACCGTCTGATGTGAGCTCCGGCAGAGAGTGGCGTGCCATTGGAAGTTGACGGCTTAGCGTTGCGCTGTCTACCGAATGAGGCCTGACTATTCTGAGTAGCGATGTCAGACCGAAATGGCCTGCACGGTTACAGGTCGAGGTATATGAAGTACTCCTGGATGTGGGAGCGCAAAGATGAGAGGGGCACTGTAGTGGAGACTATACTGACCTACGGTAAACCTGACAGGGAGGTGAGGTTAAAGGTTAATATGTGCGGTGGTAGGGAGCAGGAAATGAGGAGGAACAAAGAACTGCAGGCCGCTGTTACCGAGGCGCGCAACAGGGCCGAGCGGAGGTGCAGGCGAGACGAGGTGTCTGCTAGTATGCGGGTAACGGTCACCTATCACGAGAACGACTCGTCAACTGGGACCACGACACGGGAGGTACAGCACAATGACAGGGACTTTGAAGGGGAGTCGGAGATGAGCGATCGCGAGGCTGATGTCCGATCCTGGCATGGACTAGATCAGATCCGCCGGAACCACCCGCTGGCTGGACCAGTGGAGAGAGGACCTGAGGCCAGTTTGGCCCGAGGGAGAGGAGGCTGAGCCATTGAGGATGCATCTCCCGTAAAGAGCCGCGGGGAAAAATACAAGAGGGTTGCGCGCGTACGCTGGCGACACGTGGACGGTCTGGGGGCAGTAAGAAAGGAGAAGGTCAAGGAGATGGGATGGTGTGAGTGTGTGCAGTACGTGTGTTTGAGATGCTGACGTCAACCCGACTTCTGCGTGCGGCAAGTTAAGATGGGAGGACACGTGTGAAGACAAAGGGGGGGGGAATCAGTCTCTACCGAAGGCGTTCCAGCAGGTGCTTTGACCAGCGCACGTATTCGCCCTGACGTGGCCAGAGAGGGTGCTCACCCAGGGTGAGTCTTGTGGCAGCGGTTGCCCCAGATGGCCTGAAGAGAAGGAAGGGGAGAACTTGTACACGTTCCGACCAGCCAGTGCGCGATCAGAGAGACGCCGAGATAGTCTCTGCGCGAGTGGGGAAGTGCGTGCAGCATCGTCCGTATATGATTCACGAGACATCCAGTTGGTTCGGGACGCTCAGCTGAAAGGGCTCACGGCAAGGTGTTCTGGGGTGTCATAAGACCTCAGGCAAAATGGGAAAGAGCGAGGCGGTTGCGATAGAGAGGAGGGTGTGGACTGTCTTAATTTAGAGTAAAGAGGCAAGAGAGGAGGCGTGAAGGTCAGACTGGTGTCGAGATGTGAAAAGGAGAAGGGTACGGTTAGTTTCAATTTCTTGCGTACTGCTAGGACTTCAAGCTTCGATAGTACACTCTAACGCACTGCTTGTATCGCAGGGTCTAGCTTGCTCTTATGCGCTCCGTATCCAAGAAGGGTAAGGGTGGGGGTCTTGAAAATAAGGCGATGAAGGATCTCGACGTTCTTTTTTTTGGAGGCGTCAACTTCTTCTAGCGGTTGTGTGAGTTTCTTAATGGGAGAGTTTCCCAACACCCTGATGAGCTACTTGGTTTCTAGCTCGGTACTTCAGAACATGGAAGCAAGATTGGGACTAGTCGTGTGATTAGATGCCATCATTCGACCGTTTGACTTCATCAAGCAAACTCGGCTTGTAATAGCAGCAAGATTGAAGCCGAGTAGAGGGAATTGGACACTGAGTGACCATGAGAAGTGTCGGAGTGCAGTGAGTAGCAGTTAAGTATATCGGGGAATTGGGTTATTTTGACACGGTTGTGGACCAAAGGGAATCACTAGTTAGTCGTCGCCACTAATAACTTTTAATGGGGATAACAACTATCTTGTTATTCTCCTACCATCTGATCTTGCTTTAACAAGATTTACAGATGTGTTAAGAGAAACGTTCAGAGGGAGAGAAGAGGGCACTACCACTGATAACAGGGTATCAGCAGTACTCGATATGGCTATGGGGTTGGATAAATGAATTTTGGTTTCGAATGGACTATTTCTTTTGCACGCGAGAGTTAATTGATGTTCTCCTTTTGTTTTGCCTTGGTGTGTGTGCCTCGCTCCCCATCATCGGTAGCGTAGTATCTGAGCTAATGACGACGCTCTCACCTATGAGCTGAACTCTTAACCAGAAGTAATTAAGAGTTATTAACACCTTGTGCTTTGCACATCACAGGTGGGGAATCGATGATCGGCCCTAGCGAGCTTCATGGTAGCGCAGGCTTACTTAGTGCTTATTAAAAAAGCTCTAGCCTAACGGTCAAGATTTGCTTTCCTTGCTGAAGTGAAGGAGGTCCCAAAACTAAGAGGTACGAAAGGCAAACAACACTGTTGACTTGTCAACTAGCTATGTCTGCTCAATGGATAAGATGCGTGTCGTTGTTAAGAAGATCGTGTACCTGCTTGCAAAATTTCTAACGGATGGAGATCAATTTAGTTTGTTCAAGACAGAATTGTTTAATGGGAAAAGGGGTTGATCTTTTTATTATGAGCAAAACCCTGAGTTGGGATTACACTTTTTTCAGTGAACGTAACCTGAATGGATTGGATGGGCTTTGAGCATAGCTCACCCATGCAGGAACAGGTTGGCTTCTAATTTTTTTGGGGCTTCTGCTTACTTTATTTACCGCTAATCGATTATCAGACTCTGAATGATCACCCAACTAAACTATGTGCTGGGCTTAGCTCAGTACACCGTGGTGGCGGCATTGGCCGCGAGCGAGGAAAAACATCCGAGTTCACGCTAAATAGTGACTGTCTCGTGTTTTGTCTGAGTGAGATTTATTGGACCCGTACTTAGCCATCAAGCATTTGTGACCAGGACCAACAAAACTCAACCTTACATGCTAAAAAGGGGAAGGGGATAGTCAGAGAAATGTCTGCCGTGTGAGGTTTAGAGCAGTGATATTCCGTGTGTATTTGGTGGACAGACACCCAACTCTCGGTCTGTTGGTGCCTTGTGAACGAGGTAACAGATCAACTCTCGATCAGAGCCTTGAGATCGGTCCTGGCACATTGAGATCAGAGCTAGCGTCTGTAGAAGTATACCCGGGAGCAGTACAAGATGAGGGTTCACGTCACGTTTATCATGCTTTTTGTTTAAGGGGGAGGACTGTCCTGTTTGGGGTGTTTTGAGGATGACCTGCATGCAGCAACTAGACGGGGTTTACGATCAGAAAGAAAGAGAGACCCGAGTTGCCACTCACACGTGAAACCCATGATAAAGCAGACTCCGGTTGTCGAGGCCATGCATCATGGAAACTAATCGTGAGAGTGTGAGTATGATGCTTCAGACTTGCTTCTTTCTTCTCTTTACTTGGTTATCAGACTCAAAGATAGTTGATAGTCATATTCTTGGCAATTACTGCCTCATTGCCACTAGACTGTGCTGAGTCGAGGCATGACCCGCTTTCCTGAACACTCGCTGGGTAGTACTCGATGCAGAGTTTGAAGCGACTGTTAGCAGCTAGTACTCTACCTTTATACTCAGAACCAAGCCATCTTTAGTCAGTTTGATAACCGACTAATCAAAATCCTCCCCAACGCTCGAACAATTGCAACCCAAGCTAACCATCAGTCAGGGCCTAGAGCTTAAAGAAATAATGAAGGATGGTGAGGTCCTAATACTGAAGAGTAGTTTAAGCGGAGGTGAAAGAGAGGAGGACGAAGGCATAGCGTGCCATGATATGGAACTGCACTGGAGAGCGCTGCGTGAACAGGCGGTCCGGATGATAAAAAATGAAAAATACATAAAATACGTAACCTACTTCTACGATCGTGACAGCAAGTTGTGCAGTACCAGTTCATTACTACAAACGGTGGAACAAGCCAGGGCAAAACTCGCACAATCTCAGTAGTGTCCAAACCGTCATCTCCGAAAATATGTCAGCCCCTGAATAACAACAGTTTGCAACTCCTCGTGCAGTAAGATGCGACATATATCCGTTAATTGGTAAGACAACCAGAAAACAGACCCAGACAACCAGAAAACCAGACCCAGACAACCAGAAAACCAGACTCAGACAGCCGGAAAACAGACTCAAACAACTGAAACCAGACTTGGACAATCTCCACAGACTCAAGCGAGAAAATTCCCGAGGGCTAGTCGGTGTATTAAATCAGTGAACGACACATGAGGACTCAGTTGTGTTAGCAGCCAGCATTGCTCAGTGTAGTTACCAGCGGCCAGTGCTTGACACCTTTGTCAAAGAGGGCGGTACACCATGTTGCTAATAAGTGGGCAATAATTGATTAGTAGACAGTCAATGTTCAATCACGGTTCTATCACCATTCAGTCTGTTTTAACCAGAGATTGATCGGTGCATAATCAGTGTTCTGTCAGCATTCGATTGAAGTCTTAGATGCTAGACACTAATCAGCAAACAACAGTTGCAACATTAAGAACAACATTCTGAACAGCATCTGGAAACGACATTCAAAAGGCTTTAAAGCAACACTCAAGCAAGAGTCCAAGAGCTTGCCAGTCCATTAGCAGTTGACGTCCATTAAGTGGACAACGGTTGATTTGGCCCGCAACGGACGTCAGTTAATCAAGCAGTCTCTTTTCCTCCTATCAGGGAGTAACTACGAATCCGAACACATGAGAGAGATCAATCCCATCAGTGTTGATCAGTCGGTCCTTGATAGCCTCAACCTAATCGCTGCCAGGGAAAGCTTCCCCTAGAAGTATGTCTAATTGATGGTTTCAAGCGAGAAGGTCTGCCTATATTCGTCGTCCTCACTGAGTTCGCTGACGGTACAGTCATCGATCTACAGATCTTCCTGAAGAAGGGGAAAGAGACACACCCTCATTTTGATGCAGTGTGGGCCGTAGCAGCCGGTTTTGTATAATGGAAAGTCGAGAGACTCCAGGGGAGCACAAAGCTAGTCTATAGCTTTGGTCCTAAGCTTTTCACTGACTATCCCAAACCGCCAGTCCCCTACTATCTTACCGACAGCTCTTATTGGGGTGGAGTGGTGGACTTGGCCAAGAGAAACATATCGCCTGCAGAGATCGACTACGAGGCAGTGACTGAACCCTCCGAGTTTCCACATCTCAGGAGGGGCATTTTCTCTCAGCCGTATCTCCCCACTCTATGGGAGGAATTTTGTACTATGGTTTACTTCCGCATCATGGGACTTGGCTGGAAGTGTTTGGAACTAGCAGGCTTCAGGTGGCTTTACATTCAGAAGCCACAGACTCAGAGAGTACGGAGGCATGGCAAGAAGCCCAAACGACAAACAACGAAATGAGAGATTGAGTGTGAAGTTAGAGGGATAAGTGAGGACTCTTGATCGGTGTTGGCCATGCTCTCTTCCATATGTACTTCCTGAGACTATTATGAGTTCTCATTCTTCCCTCATCTATTTGACTCTGTCTTGCCCAAGCCAGTCAGTCGGTCTTGCTTCTTGCATTGTTCTTGCCTGATGATTGCTTTCGTGGATGATTGTCACAGTTCTTGAAATCAGACTGACATAATTGATGCATGCATAGCATTCCATAATTTATGATTACTATTTGCATGATTCTCTGTTGTTCTAAATCAAAATAAAAGATTCCTAAGACCGGGGACCGATGAAGACCACAATTGAAGGGTCTCGCACAAAGCCGGACGCATACAACAGGAAGGGATTTGTATTATTTAATTTATTTTATTTATTGCAATCACATACAAAACCCTGCGTGACAGCATGTTGGCTTTCCGGTCACCTGGAGCGGTCCGACTGGAAAAAAGTGCTACAGCATCCCCGCCACAGACACTACGGACGCTACACAACAGCCTGTGGTTGGGTCATCGCCGACAGCACGGCGCGACAGAGCTACTGTTTTGCCGACAGTGGCATTCTATGCCAGCGGGAGTAGTACTGGGGGGCTGGACGAGCGAGGAGTTCGGATTGTTGGCAGGCCATCTGCACCGTCTATGGGGATACGATCCATTGGGAGTGTTGATGGTGCTCGGCACACAGCCACGACAGAGTTTGAGGACCGACACGGGAGTGCTTTGCCGACGAAGACGTCTGATGTCCATGCTACGAGGGCTGCGAAGGCGAGTCTTTCTCGGACGAAGAAGAAGGCCTTGACAAGGAAGGTGTCACGTTCGTCTTCACATATGCGTTCCCGAGAGAGAAAATCCGACGTTGTGCATCTCGAGGACGGAGAGATTGCACCTGATGGCAGTGCATTGGATGTTAGAGGGAGGGCTGCAACGACGGCGGACAGCATCGGCAGGGAGGGTGCAGAGGATGCAGTGGCAGGTCAGAAGAGACGCGGCGGTGTACTTATCGTCCACGGCAACAACACGGATGTCGCCCCTGGGAGAGACCACAGACACTGATGATGAGGGGGACTCCGATTAAGTGCCCAAACTACGGGCGGCGGACAAAGATGATGGAGGAGGGCGACGAGTGAGACGGAGGACACGACTCGGGCCACAAGGGCAGCGGCCACAGGGCACACCATCGGCGACGATTCCCGCCCCCATTCATCGGTGAGCTCAGGCGCAGCGGCTGCTGTGCAAAATGAAGGCCACTCTTGAACAGACACACGAGTTATCAATCGGCCGCGAAGAGATGGAGACTCAGAGAGAGAGAGAGGGGGGGGAGGAGAGAGAGAGAGAGAGAGAGAGAGAGAGAGAGAGAGAGAGAGAGAGAGAGAGAGAGAGAGAGAGAGAGAGAGA